GTGGCAGCGTTGTCGTTCTGCCATTAGACAGCCACAGACTTGAACTGTTAAAAGCAGCTCTGGGTCACTGTTAGTTCACAAGGTGTGTGTGAAGTGTGAAGAGATACATGTCTGGTGTAGACAGCTGCACTGATTACATAGAATGGAAACATACTGTGGTTGTAGTAACTGTATGATGGAAAATCACAGTGGAAAGGCACAGTGTAACTTGAAACCCCTTTCTGGGTGCACAGGGCGATTAATTCATTATATATATTTAATGTTACATCTGCCCCTGTTCAAGTAAAAGGTGCATCAACAAAATCATTTTAGAATTAGTGGGGAAAATGGACAAAGTATTGCTATCATTCCTCCTCTGCCCTACATGAAAAGAGATGATGAACAAAGAGGAAACGAGACAAAAGAAGCACAGGAGGAAAGCGTTAGAGTGAGAAGAGAAGGATGACACAAAAAGGCAAAGTCATATTTGAAGAAAAAGACCAGGAGTTTGTGTGTCTGTGTGTTGAAATAATAACAAATTGAGATGTGTCTAGAAAGGAGCAGTAGGTGGTGACAGAAGTGTCCTTATGACTAAAAGATTCACAACTCTTGAACTCCTGGACCCCTTTGGGAAAACCACCTCTTTCAACAAATACCATCACAGTAGCTGCTCTGTGGCCAGAAACTGGGCAGCCTGAATGTATTCACAGAAACAAGTAACCAGCCATTGTTTACAATCTCCCTGAATCCTTAGTTTACTTATCTCCTGGATGAAGATTCAAAAATAGGAGGAAACAAGGTCTAGAACAGTCTCACAGCAGGGTAGCTTTGGGATAAATGAGTCACCAGGGTTGATCAATATTTGTGTTTCATAATCCATACACAGTTTATGCTGAATGTCATCACCATGATGATAGCTGTACATAAAAGAAGACCAGGGGTTTCAGCTCCACAGCTGTGTGTGAGTCACTGGATTGCTTTCCATGCATGCATGCAGCACATTTGATAATGTGGGTATTCTAATTTGTGTGTGTAACTTAATGTATCAGAGGTCTTCCTAATTTCATTAAGGTCAATCTGTACTATGAGAGCCCATAAAGGCCTGTAATTATCGATTGCAGGAAAGAAACAGGCCAGTTGTATTGTATTGTTGGATGAGGTAATTATATCTTTCAAATTAAGCCAGATGCTTCCCATGGGAACCAATCACTGATCACAGACATCAGATATATTATTTAACCCACTGATTTCCATAAATTATTTCTTAAACTGAACACTTTTGTCCTTTTTAGACCACAGTTATGGGTTTTGACATAAACTTTTTGTGTGTGGGGGAATATGTCAATATACCTTAAATCAGGGTATTTTCTCTTAGACAAAGGGCAGTATCACATTTCTCTTTTGTGGTCGTTTGCCATAGCAACACTTGCAAAGCCGTGCAGCCATGTCTGTGTAATATAGGTCAAGCCTGACATCTGCTGGCCAAGCCTGTATCTGCCATAAACAAGGCCAATGTAGAAATCATCTAGCATGTGGTGATATGTGGGGGCTTTTACAAGCTAATAAAGAGAATCGTTTCCTAGTCCTTTTTGTAGATGGAATCAGCATAAATGTCTGTAAAGCCTTTGTAGGCCTGCAGTCCACCAGTAGATCAGTGAAAATAATGAAATGAGAAAATCTCTGGCTAATCTCCATTCACATGTGGGATTTACTCTGCTCATAGAACTGGGAGTTGACCTTTAATCCAGCCTCTGTAAACAAACCCATCAAATCAGGCAAACCTTTCAAACAATAGTGAAGGAGACTCAAGAATGCACAATCCATTTCATTTCATAGTATTTACTGAATGAAGTGGGATTGACCTTCATTCATCCCATTGCTTCAGTCCTCCCTTTTTACCATGTTCCCATCCTGTCCTCATCCTTCACTCCTCATTTCTTTCTCATTCTTTTTGTATTTGCCATTGTAGGCACCCCCTTGCCTTGTTCACTGCAGGTGTTTCTACCAAATTAATAAAAGATAAAATTATTTGGCTTTTCTGCATTGAATTGCATTAACTCTTCATATGTTCTATATGTGAAATTAAGTAACTTTCAGTGGTTATAGCTGTCAAAAAATTACTGGAGTAAAATGTACTACAAAGGGCAGCATGGTGACGCAGCGGTTAGCTAGCCTCAGAGTAAAAAGGGTCCAGGTTCGAATCCTGGCCGACTCGGAGCCTTTCTGTGCAGAGTTTGCATGTTCTCCCTGTGCCTGCATGGGTTCTCTCTGGGTACTTCGGCTTCCTCCCACAGTGACTGGTGACTTTAAATTGCCCGTAGGAGCAAATGAGAGTGTGTGTGTGTGGTTGTTTGTTTGTCTACATGTCAGTCCTGTGATAGACTGGCAACCTGTCCAGGGTGTGCCCCGCCTCTCACCCAGTGTCAGCTGGGATTGGCTCCAGCCCCCTCAGGATAAGCGGTACGCATAATGGATGGATGGATGGAAAACGTTCGACACTATATTTCCCTCTGAACTCATTTGTTTGTATATGAAATAGAAATGCTTAAATAAAGTACAAGTACCTCAAATTTGTATTTAATTACAGCTTTTGATTAAATTCACTTAGTTACATTGCACCACTGGAGTGGCACAGTCAGTAGTAAGCTTCCCTTTCAACCAAAGAAACTAAAACAATCATCTGTCCTTCTGAAGTGTCCTTGAACAAAACACTTAATCCTTACTAGCTCCAGTGATTTGGACTTGTAACACAATCTGTTAACATGTAATTTCAGCAGTTAGTTGTGTTATTTTGATAACACGTTTCTCTAAAAACCACTTGAAAACCCAAACCATATTTCATTGCATTCTTTTGTCACATAATTCACACTTGTATTGTTTTTTTTTCCCCCAAATGAAATCTGTGGGATGGTTGCAGCAATAAAAAATGATTACGAAACACATTCTCTGACACATTGCAACAGCCAGACAATTTGAATAAGGTCATCAATCTGCCTTTCAGTGGACATGATTTCAAGATTTTTTCAGTACATCAGCATTTTTCAAGCCATGCTGCATCTGATAAGTGCTTTTGTCAGGCTGCATATCAGAGCCCTCTTCAGGAGCAGTCTTTTTGCAGTCGTTCGAGCGAGG